ATTTTCTTCAGTTCTTTCTCTTCTATTCTGCTGTCTCCAAGTATTGCAATGTCCACTATCCAGACGACTTCTTCTTCTTCTTCTTCTTCTTCTTCTTCTTCTTCTTCTCCTCCTCCTCCTCCTCCTCCTCCTCCTCCTCCTCCTCCTCCCCCCTACCAAATCATTATGTGTTGTGATGGCAACTTGTCAAATCAAATGGGCTTCAAAAAATTTGGATAAATATGTAAGAGGTCAACTATAATTGTTTATCTGGATATGCAAGAGTATTTTATTTCTCTAAAAGGCAGTATGAATGTTTCATCTGATACCTCCCTAAATATCAGTAGTGAACCTTTCTGTATTTATAGTACAGAGACCCAATAAGTTTCAGTTAGCAATAATCGCGCCTTGGATTAACCTCATTGGCTATGATACTGCCAATGCGCACAACCAATAAAGATCTGTTCAAACCTGTATACCTTTTTTTCTGAAGCAGCTATTGGTGGCTATGCTATGGCTGGTCTTTCTATGAAATCCACTGAGACACTGAATAGTATTAGAATAAGATCAATTTATTACAATACAGATTGTCCTTGTTTAGTGACTGCCTCATTTAGTGACTGTTCACAGTTATGACAGTAATGAAAAACTAACTTTGCGACCAGTCCTCATATTTACAACCTTCGTAAGTCTGTAAAGCAAAGGTAAGCTGAAGTAAGATCATAAGCACAGTTGTTTTTTTCATTTAACAACTGCTTTGCTTAATGACCAAGTTGCTGGTCCCAATTGTGGTCACTAAATGAGGACCACCTGTATTTAATCACCACTGAGGCAAGGGAGTGTCATTTGAATTTTCCACCACTATCACCAAAACATCTTGAATTTATTAGCTGCCTTCTAAAGCAAATGAGGACTGATCACCTTCCTTCCTGAAACCATTTCTTTGGCATTCTTTATGGTTTGCATAGAAAGCAAACTAAACATATCTTACTAAGTTACAAATCTGGAATAGCATCTTCCCTGAGAGAATTTTTAGCAGAAATAAGAAATCTAATTTCATCATTACAGACAACAAATTGACTTTCTGAAAGATTTAAACAACAACAAGATAATTAGTTTAACCAAACAATTCTGCCTCTCACTGCCATGGGGTAAAACAACCTCAAATGGTTTGCAAGATTTTCTGAAGAGCAGATTTCTGCTTGACAGCTGTCAGCTATAGAAAATGTCCAAAAGGCACCCCAGATAAGAACCCTGAATCTTCTCTCACCCCCTTTCTTTCCAGAGGAGTCTTATCTCACTGGAGCTCTGGAGACTTAATTGACTGGTATTTACCAAGCACTTAAGATCCACTTGGGGGAGGTTGCTACAGGGAGTGAGAACTATGAATAATACTAGCTGCCAACCTAGTGCTGACAGAGAAACCCTGCCTAAGCAGTTTGGCAGGATGCACTCAGGTTTTACATACTTCAATTACCTATGAATGGCAATCACCTATTTTGTATAATAATTTGTGCTCCAGGAAAACACTCCTTATCTTTCATGCCCAAGTGGCATGCAATCTACTTTAGCAATTTGCTACTAATCCCAAAAAAAGAAAGAAAAAAACACCCTGAACTACATCTTTTGCACTGCTGTGTCTGGTCTTCCTGGAGGAATGTGAGCACCTGATTCCAAAATTAATTTTAAAACAAGAGGAGACCGTAACTTTCATTCTAGAATAATCCTCAGGTAGGAGTGGAATGGAATTTACTTAAGTGAAATGAGTCCACAATCAAACAGTTTCAATTGACACACTGTACTTACTGGAACAAGATCTATTTCATTCTTAAGATTGCAAAATACAAAGAGGGATTATCAACTACTAACTATAATATTTAGATGGTTGTTCATAAACAACATAATCCATAATCCAAATGGGAGAAGAACAAATTCTGGGTTAGCATCTTCGTGTTTTACTTGTGAGGCAGCTAACCAGCCAGAATTGAAAACAGAATGCTGGAATATAAATCAGTAGATCTTGCGTCCTTAAAGTAATCAATTACCAAATTACAAGAAATATGATATTTTGAGTTCTGGATGATTACAATATAAATCCAGCATCAGCCCTATACCAACTCATCCCAAACCATTTTAGATTACCAGATTTGTACTGCTCACCAAACAACTATTGAGGTAGTTGAAGCTTCTTCAGATGGACACCCATAATTGGAACACCACACTGAAAGTATTGTGGTCCTTTACCCACTTGTTTCACTTCTGATGGCACAAAAGACAGAATTAGTTCTCAGACATTAAGCTAAGCATGCAGGTTGTCTCTCCCAATCCCTAACACTCTCCTAATCCCATACTTACAAATGTTAGGCCCACTGAAAAAATCTGAGAGAGAGACATGCCACCAGAATGCAAAGGAACCACCAGTCATTTCTGTGATCTTGCAATGCTCATAAGCAATACAGTATGTCAACTCAGATGCTTCCTGCTGAAATACTCTTTCTCATATATTCCCTTATAGGTGACTGCCCACCATTTCCTTATCAGAGACTCAGTGTCTCCAAAGCTATCATTATTTTACGTAATGTCATTAAAAGTATCTGCCCAGCTGAAAAACAAAAAATAAGTAGAGGTGACAACTAAAATATTGTGGCATGAGAAGACACTGAGATCAGAGAACAAACTTCCCAACACCAACTTGGAACTTCAGCATTAACAATTATAATGTCTGCATGTTTTCTTTACACTAGAGAGTTTTGTTTTTGAAGTCAACTTTTTAACTGGTAGCTCATAGAAATCAGCCACGCAAAAAAGATGGCAAGCCTGCAGCAAGACAATAAGTCATCAGATGAAGTCAGCATGCGCAGATGAAAACCCTTCCTTTCATGGCATTATGGTGCACTGCCTCAGCTGTATGTTCAGGACATCAGAAAAGACTGCCAAGCTCATGATCTCTGGCTGGCTTTTGTTTCTATGCTCTCAGGACCAAAAGTTGCAGGGTGTGTGTGTATTTGATACTTCGTAGAGCAACAGAAGCTTTTGAGAAAGGTGAGTGAAAGAAAAGCCCTTGTACCAAGATGTTTACAATCCAAAGCACTGGCACTGAGAAAGCAGAAAGAAGGAGCAGCAAAATATGAATTTGAACAAATGAAGGTAAGTAAGCACAGGCTTACAGTATATTATTTTTGTCAAAGTTTCTCCAACTATCGGCACATGTTCTCACTTTTTGGCACCAGGGGTCTTCTTGTTTCTGCAGCATTACAGGTCTCTTTATTATTAAGATGCATGCTTTAAAACGCACCTAGAGAGATTGCAGCATGTAGTCAACTTTGTCTGATCTGGAAAAGCGAGGTAGGGTTATACCTGGTTATTACCTGGATAAGACCCCACCACGGAATACCAGAGCTGTAGGCCAGACTGAGGAATTGAAAACACATTACAGAGGAAGGCAATGGCCAACCTCTTCTACACTGTAGCCAAGAAAACTACACCGATTTTTTTCCTGTGCTCACCAGGTGTCCAACCTTTACCGTTTTATCTGAGATGCAGCCCCATGAACTTCAGACTTTGAGTCCCATGCCGAAGTGGCAGCAGTTTTGTTTCTGCTTTACCTCCCCAACTTTCCTTCTCAAGCCAATATTGCTCTGAATCTAAGGGATGTTAAAAGAAGCAATTAATTAAACCATGTTGTTTAAAATGTTAATGGTGGGCACTGTGTTGAGTGAAACTATTTACACATAATTTATGTTTACCTTTTCCAATAAAGCTTTTTCTTACACTGAGTCTGACCATTCACTCTCTTCTCTAATTGGAAGCAGATGCTAAGCTGAGATCTTTTCCAGATTGTTTAACATATATAACGGGTGTAATCTTGTCACTCAAGCACCAAACTTCCCTCTACTACAGCTGTTGAACATTGTTCAAGGCAGTCTTCTGGGAGGTTTGATAACACAGTGAAAACTTACATAGTGCTCATAGAGTCTCCAGAAAGAGAACATGATGAGGTATAAACACTTAATGGCCGCCCAGATCATTGGCATCAATAAAATGAATTAGGAATCATCAGGAAAGAAACACTTTGAATCTCATTGGAACCTGGACTGGCTTTTTACAAGCAAAGCTCATTGTTTCTAGAAAAGCGTAGACATTAAAGGACACACCTCTTCACTAGGAACCGAATCCAAAAACACCTTTTTGTATAAAAACTAGAACCTAGCAATACATATCCCAAGGATGCTGTTCTTAAAATCAGGTCAACATTAGCACATTTAGGCTATTCTGGATTGCAAATAGAGGGCACGTCCAATAAGCAAGCACAAACTGTCACTGTGACATTTATGGAGCACAAAAAGGGAAAAAGAAAAGGACAAACATATTTTGATCAACCACCAAGTTCTACAAATGAGCAAACTGGTTGCCTGATAGCAACCCTTGCAGTCAGTGCTGCATAAATCCACTTTTCATTTATGACCTCCTGAAGCATTATAAAGCCACAGAGACTCACATTTAACACCATCTTAGATTGCCAATGAAATATCAAAGATCTTTTTTCAACTTAGAATTGCATTCCTCTGTTTCTGAAGCAGCTGATTGCTGCTGATAAAAAGGAGCCATTTGTTTATTATTCCATTCATTTTATTGCATTTTTTTCTGTCAGGAAAGAAGAGAGATATTTGTAAGTTTTCTTATCTCACATGCTCAAATAACTTGACTGCCCTATGCACGTTGATTGAAGGAGTGGGGAATGTGGGAGGCAACATGTATTGTTGCTGCACCTCAAGCAGCAAAACACCTTAGGCCAAACATTTGTTCATTCATTTTAAACAAGACTTTAATTCTATTAAAAGTGAAGCAATTTCTGAACGATTCTTTTGTAGAATTTTAGACTTAATTTATCCCGGGGAGGGGCGGGGGCAACATAATTCCAGATCATTCTGTCTAGTCAATGACAAGTAGCCTGCTTGCAGAAGTTATCCTTTCTTATTGCTTTCTACTGATTGCAGCTAAGAGACCTGCAATTAATAATCACTGAATTAGTCCTCTGCCTTTTTTTTTGGTTATTGTTGTTACATGAAGGGGCTGTATCCACAGACAGCCTCATGGAAAGAAATCAGCAATAGCGATTTCTTAGTCATATATTTTCTCTTGAAAAAAATCTTTGTTGAATAAAGTTTAGTAGTGAGTAAACAAAGAATTCTAGGGGAACGCTGTATAATTCTTGCACAACATAGTAACATATTCTAGCAAAGTGGAACTTCTACTTTAATCTTAGTACCTACAAAAAGCATGCCTCAGCAGTATTTCAGATCTACTTTGGAAGTACCCAGTGTAACCCACTAATCTGAAACTCTTTACGTTTTAAGAGAGTCTTCTATAATAGCTGTTATGAAATCATGCACATTCAAATCTGTTCCTTTCCCTTCTGCACCATGCCAAATTATTTCATTACTATAATTGT